CTCTAAAATGTCACTTGTCCTGTTGATACCATTGTGATTAGCTAGTTATTAATAATAGGAAAAAAGCAGAGGGAAGGCCAGACATTATAGGCATATCATTTGGGCATCTTCACCAGGAAGCTGCAATTTCATGCTCCCCAGGGAACCACTGGCGCATTTCCTGAAGATCACTGGGGGAAGGGGTTTAACAAAGGGAAGATAGATGCATACCCAGGGAAGCTGGGTGATATAGGGAAGGTACTTGCCTCTCAGTCAAACCTGAGGACAGAGATCATTAGCCAGAGAGGGTAGAGCCACTGCAAAATTTGGGAATACATAATCCCCGAAAGAGCCTAAACAAAGAAGTCTGCTCTCTTTTTGCTCCTGGGTCATGGGACTTTCTTGCTCCTAATTCCTTGCACTTGCCGGTGTTTCCTCCATAGCCATGTGGCCCTGCAGACCCTACATGCAATGGCCTGCTGGACTACAGCTGGAAACAGACACTAAACTAGCCTAATGCTGGATTAGACTGCTCCAACATGGAACAGAAGCTCTGGACACTGACTTTAATTCTAGCCCTATTAAAGCCACGGCTACACTTCTTCCTTAGCGGGACCTTGGAAACTCAGGGGTTTGAGTCCACAGAATAAAGCTTTCTAAAATAGCTCCTCCTCCAGTGTGTCTCAGAAAGTTCTTTTTCTCAGAATATCTCAAGAAATCCACTCAGGTAGGGACGAAGACCTCTCCCCACCAGTAACACTATTGCACTCTTGTCTTAAGAGCAGAAATTTTTAAAAAGGACAATTAGTGTCTGGAATATATAAAGCCCTGAATTAATTTTGTTTCAAATATAAAGATAATTTTTTTTACTCTTTTGCTCACAAGAAAAGAAATAGATCAGCTCCTTACTGTTTGTTTCTCTCAAATAAGAAATGGCCACTTTACTTACATTAGTATTAGCTCAAATTTATTGGTTTTTCTTAACAATTTCCCTACAAATCTTAGTAAACTACTTCAGAGATAATCCTTTCCAAGTTTCCATAATCTTTATTTATTTTTTTTAAACTCATCTTTATTGTTTAATGTGTTACAGATGTTCCCCCCCTTTTTCCCCCACTGACCCCCTTTTCCTCAAACCCGCCCCCTTCCAGCCTTCCCCACACTATTGTTGCTGTCCATTGGTTATGCATATACGCATAGAAGTTCTTTGTTTATCTCATCCCACCCTTCCTACCCCCTTTGAGGTTCATCAGTCTAACAACCAATTTGTACTTTTTAATTCCTTCATCTTTTTCACCCATCCCTCCAGTCCCCGCCCATCTGGTAAGCAACAAAAAGTTCTCAGTATCTATGAGTCTGTTCTGTTCTGCTTGCTCATTTTGTTTGTAGATTCAATTGTTGATAGATATGTATTTTTTTAAAATCCTTACCCAAGGACATTTTTGCATTTATCTTCAGATAGAGTGGGAGGGAGAGAGGGGGGAAGAGAAAGAGAGAAACATTGATGTGAGAGAGACACATCAAATGGTTGCCACTAACATGACCCCAACCGGGACAGGGACAAACTTCAACCGAAGTACATGCCCTTAGCAGAAACCAAACCCAGGACTCTCTGGTCCACAGGTCAACGCTCTAACTGCTGAGCCAAACCGGCCAGGGTGATAGATATGTATTAATTGACATTTTATTATTCATATTTTTGTTCTTCTTCTCCTTCAAGAAGACTCTTCAACATTTCGTATAATACTGATTTGGTGGTGATGAACTCCTTTAGCTTTTTCTTGTCTGGGAAACTCTGGATATGTCTTGCTACTCCTTTCTGGCCTGCAAAGTTTCTTTTGAGAAATCAGCTGCCAATTTTATGGGAGTTCCTTAGTAGGTTACAAATTGCTTTTCTCTTGCTGCTTTTAAGATTCTCTCTTTGGCCCTGGCCAGTTTGGCTCAGCAGTTAGAGGGCCCACCCTCAGACCAGAGAGTCCCGGGTTTCGTTCCTACTAAGGGCAATACTTTAGTTGCAGTTTGTCCCTGATCCCAACTGGGGCCGTGTGGGTGGCAACCAGTTGATGTGTCTCTCTCACCTCAATGTTTCTCTCTTTCTCTTTCTCCTTCTCTCCCTCCCTCTCTATCTGAAGATAAATGCAAAAATGTCCTCAGGTGAGGATAAAAAACAAAAAAAAAAGATTCTCTCTTTGTATTTAACCTTTGGCATTTAACTGTGTCTTGATGTGGGCCTCTTTGGGTTCATCTTGTTTGGGACTTTCTGTGCTTCCTGGACTTGTATGTCTGTTTCCTTCACCAAGTTAGGGAAGTTTTCTGTCATTGTTTCAAAGAGGTTTTCAATTTCTTGTTCTCTTCCGTCTCCTTCTGGCACCCCTATGATGTAAATGTTGGCATGCTTGAGGTTGTCCCAGAGGCTCTTTACACTATCCTCATTTTTCTTTTTTATATTCTTTTTTCTTTTTGCTGTTCTGATTGGGTGTTTTTTGCTTCCTTATATTCCAAATCAATGGTTTGCTTCTTAGCTTTACCTACTCTACTATTGATTCCCTGTAAATTATTCTTTATTTCAGCTAGTGCATTCTTCATTTCTGACTGGTCCTTTTTGATGTTGTTGATGTTCTCACTAAGTTCCTTGGAGGTCTCTTTAAGTTCCTTGAGGGTGTCACCAAGTTCCCAGAGCAACCTTATAACCTGTGTTTTAAACTCTGCATCTGATTGATTGCTTATCTCCATTTTGTTTTGTTCTTTTCCTGGAATTTTATTCTTTTCTTTCATCTGGGACATGTTTCTTTGTCTCCTCATTTTGGCTGCTTCCCTGTGATTGCTTCTATGTATTAGGTAGAGTTACTATGTCTCCTTGGCTTCATAGGGTGGCCTATTGTAGTAGTTGTCTTGTAGAGTCCAGTGGCACAGCCTTCTTGATAATCCCAGTTGAGCACTCGAGGTATACCCCTCATGTGGACTGTACACCCTTCTGTTGTAATTGAGTCTGGATTGCTGTTGGAATATCATTGGGAGGGTTTTACTCAGACTGATCAGCTGCAAGGACTGGCTGTGCCCACTGACCACTGGCCTCTGACTACCTTGGAGGATTAACTGTGTAGGGGCCCACCACACAGAGCAAGATTTACTTTATTAGGGCTCTGGTACCCACTGAGTCTATTCATTGAGTGTGTCACTTGTGGAGGTGGTTGGGTGGTGGTGTTTCAATGTGGTCTGAAGCTGTCCACTGGGTGTGCTGGCTCTGGGGCAAGGTCAGCCATTGCCTATGTTCTACCCAGGGATACCTGGCATAAGCTACAAAGTGATCTGCCACTAGATATTTCTCGTGCTGGGCTTGGAAGTACCCAAGAAAAGCCAAGTTGTGAACAAAGGCTGGCTGCTTCTAGTGCCAGGCCTGGAGCCACTTAACAAGAGGTATGGGCCTTGCTGAGACCAGATACTGCTTGTTTGAGAGATTTTAGGAAACTCTTAAGGACAATCCAAGACAGGCCAATTCTATGGTAAAGCCTTTGGAAACAGCTTGGATGGGCCTGAAAGGGGGGGGCATGGCCTCAGGGAATCATCAGGGTGGGGCAAACAGTGTGAGCCAGGTTGCTGGAGTCTCAGATATGGTGGCCATCTGCCACCCCAGGGAAAGGCTCACCAAAGGAACATCAGCTTCCGCCAGCATGTCTGTCCAGAAGAAAGTCTCCTTTTCAGCCCTCATTCTGAAGCCAAACAGGTCAGTTCTTCCCTGTATGTCTCTGGTGCCTTTCAAGCTGCCTCTCCTCCAAGCTTAGAGGGAGCAAGTCCGAGTAAGTCCATTCATGGGTCCTTCAAGAGGGACTGCCTGGGGCTCCCACAGCCTCAGCCTCCGCCTCCCTCAGCCTCGGTTCCTACTAGTTTTACAGCCAGAAGTGATGGGGACTTCTCTTCCTGGCACTGGAACCCTGAGCTGGGTGCCTGGTGTGGGGTGGGGACCACTCACTCCCCAGGGAGAACCTTCCCAGCCAAGGTGTCCTCCTGATTTTTATCCGCCACATATGGGTGTGGGACCAGCCCGTCCGCCTCCACCCCTCCTACCAGTCTCAATGTGGCTGCTTCTTTAATTCCGTAGTTGTAGGACTTCTATTCAGTTCGATTTCAGGCAGTTCTGAATGATGGTTGTGTTGTAGTTTAGCTGTAATTTTGATGTGGTTGTGGGAGGAGGTGATACCGTGTTTACCTATGCTGCCATCTTGACCAGAAATCCCAAAGTTTCCATAATCTTTAGAATTGAATATTTGAGTAATAAATTAAACTAAGTTCCCATTGAGAGTAATTGTTTTTCCTTAATGACAACAAAAAATAAGCTGGCTTTTGGAATTGTGATCTCCTGATTCGTGCCCCAGTTAATTTCTGAATCTGTGTTTTGATTCATGAATTTATAAGAAGGTGTTGGTAGAAGGAATCCAGAATCTTTCTTGGAGTTGTTCCATAAATCTAGTGTATTCCATAACAAAACAGTATCTCTGGGGAAATCATCTTACTGCAAGTAATATTAACCTTACAAGCCTCAGGAAACTCCATTCTCCACAGTCTCAAGGACAGTCAATTTAGCCAAGTTATTGCATTTCTATATTAACCCAACAGGCTTTTGCAATTTAGGGGCTAGAAATCCATTCTCAGAGTTTCAGTAAAGATCTAAGACCTACTTGTCTGAAATAATGGGGGAAAATATACAGTAATGGTGTGAGCCACATAACGGAAGGTATTGCTTGTACGCTTTGCCTTCACTTGTCATGGCATTTCAGGCCATGTCATGCTGGGACGGGGTTGGGGATGGGCGCCGTAGGGGGGGAGGGAATAAAATATGACATTTTGAGCCTCAAGTGGGAAAACAGTGACATTAAAATCTAGCATTATTTGTTACTTTCAGATTTTAGATACTATTGGTCACTAGTGTGTTCCATAGGGCAATAAATCTCTGACTATAAAAATGCAAATACAGTCTTCTATTGTTTATTGAATTTCTTCTTTTTTTCTTTTGGTCTTTTTAGGTTTATAATTTTGTCTTAGATTGTCAGAGCATTAATTTCATCAGTCAAAATTTTATTTCTGGCCCTGACCAGGTGAGTCAGTTGGATCATCATCCTGTACACCAAAAGGTTGCAGGTTCCATTACCAGTCAGGGCACAAACCTAGGCTGTGTGTTTGATCCGCCATCAGGGTGCTTACAGGAGGTCACCGATTGATGTTTCTTTCTCTCCTCCCTCTTTCTCTCTCTCTCCCTCTAAGTTAATTAAAAAATATCCTTGGGTGATGATTTAAAAAAAAATTCTATTCTGCCACTGTAAATATTTAATGTCTCTGAACCTTGGTTTCCTTATCTATAAAATGTGAAGAATAACGCTTGCTTTTGCAAGTGGGTATGAATTAAAATTAAGTATATTAAAATCTACTATAGTGCACACACACTGTAGGTACTCAGTAAATGATGAGAATGGTGCTCATTATTAAGGTCAACTAAAAATCATTGGCAAAGTACCTAGTGGAGTATACGATACAAAAAGTTGGAACTCAGTATATGTAAGGTGCTGTTATTCTAGAGGCAGGGAACTTCTTGTTGAAGCTATTTAACGTGGACTCACAGGGTACATCATGCATGAACTCATGCATTAGTAATCATTGCTCTTTTGTGAAGGAAAGAGGTAGCTCTGCTCTCTCACCTTGTCAGTTCTCTACTATGTGCATTCTTATTCACATGCAGATCACTAGAACCCAGGCTACATCCTCACAGTTGAGACAGAGATGATAGTGGGACAAGATAAGGTTTAGGAACTTCACTGTAGACCACAGGAAGGTGCAGGCAGAATTGTGACAGAATGAGTTTTACAGTTGTTGAGAGTAAAGGAAATTTGGTCTAGAGTTCAGGAGAGGCCTATTGGTAATATTAATAGATCAGGTCTAAAGAGTTGCTTCAGCCCTATAATCTTAGCATTGAAAATGCCATTTTGGATTAGTGATGTTCTTTTTGGCTATTGAATTCTAGGTACAATCTTTGCTGAGTTTGAGGATTCACCCATGACAGCACCTAAATCATGGGGTTGATATGAACTCAGGTCAGAGAATGACTTTAAGATTCCCATCAAGTATTACTGCACATTAGGAGCAGGTCTTCCAAAAGTGTGTGTGAGTCTACATTAGTTTTCTAGGGTTGCTATAAAAAAATACCACAAACTGAGCGGGTAAATCAACAGAAATATATTGTCCCACAGTTCTGGAGATTAGAAGTTCAAGATTAAGGGAGGTGTCAGCAGACTTGGTTCCTCCTGAAGGTTGTGAGAGAGAATATATCCTATGGCTCTCCCCTGACTTCTCATAGTTCGTTGGCAATCTTTGGCATTCTTTGGCTATTGAAGCTTCATCCTGATCTCTGACTTCATTTTCACATGGTGTTCCCTTTGTGCATGTCTGTGTCCAACTTTCCCATATTTATAAGAACTCCAGTTACGTTAGATTAGGGGCACAACCTACTGCAGTATGCTGTCATCTTAACTGATTACATCTGCAATAGCTCTGTTTCCAAATAAGGTCATATTTTGAGGTACTGGGCATTAGGACTTCAATATATGAATTGGAGGGGGGGCAGGAGGGCACTGATAAAATTCATTCTTAACAGGATCCTTGGGATTATCACTAGTTGCTAAGGTCCTCTGGGAAAAGCCCATGATACTATGGGGAAAGGAGTGTGAGGGTACTGACATAGGAATATGTGAGTGAGCATACTGCAGACCGTCAATACCAGTATATCTGCATAGTGGAGTGAATTAGCCAAAATAATGAGGGATTAATTGAATAACTTAGTGGAAAAAGAGCCCTGAGTATTGGAAGACAATTCTCCACGGATCCTTCTCATTTCTGCCTATGCGTGTGCGGTGAACAGATTGAAGAGACATTAAAGCATGATTCTAAAATCCTGATATTAAGACCTGATGTTAAGATTATAGAAAAAGACCTAATTTTAAGGTAAAATAAAATGTCTCTTTTGTGACTACTTATTTGCAATTGATCTCAAAATATGTAATATGAGGAGTCAAAAATAGAGAGCAATTTATGTAAAGAATAAAGGAAAGGCAGTTCTTGATAGTGAATAATATATTTAAATGACAGTGAAAGATTCACAAGGTAATTGCAGAGCTCAGATAAAAATAGGAACATCTAGCATTATCTAGGGAGAAACTAACAAATTAGGATGAATAATGATCTTTTAAGTGACATTGAGTTGGAATTTCATAAAGATAGTTTTTAAATGAACATAGGAAAAGGTTTTCCTGGATATGAAATATGGTGACTATTCTGCTATTTGGGGTCTAAAGCTCATTACCTTTTAGACAGAAATTCTGCTTCTGCCTGGCCAGTGAGGCTCAGTGGTTGAGCATTGACCCATGCACCAAGAAGTCACTGGTTCCATTCCCGGTCACAGCACATGCCCAGGTTGTGGGCCCAATCCCCAGTGGGAGGCATGCAGGAGGCAGTCAATCGATGCTCTCTCTCATCGATGTTCTCTCTCATCGATGTTTCTGTCTCTCTCTCCCTCTCTCTTCCTCTCTGTCTCTAAAATCAATAAAGAAAAAAATTTTTTAAGGAAATTCTGCTCCTGCAGCAACTATGATTAGTTTTTGTGGTTTTTTTTTGTTTTTTTTTATCCTCACCCGAGGACATTTTTCCATTTTTTGTTCAGATAGAGCGGGAGGGAGAGAGAGAGAGAAACATCGACGTGAAGGGAAACATCGAGTGGCTGCCACCCGCACGACCAACCAGAGCCGGGCACAAACTGCAACCGAGGTACGTGCCCTTAGCGGGAACCGAACCCAGGTCTCTGTACCGCAGGCCGACGCTCCAACCGCTGAGCCAAACCGGCCAGGGCTATGATTAGTTTTAAGGGTATTTCTGTTTTGTTTTATCTCATCTTTACTTCCATTCTCTAGAATCTATTATTATCCAATCCAATCCAAGTGCTTGTTTTGAAAGTTAGTGTTATTCAGGCAAAAGCAACCACATACTGCCAGGTTTCAGAGAGCTGTCACAACTCAGTAAAAGTAGCTGAATCTCCAACCGAAGCAGACACTGATTCAGCAGCACTGTCAGATGGCATTGTTTCTGAAATGTCAAAGGACAAATGGTAAACGACATTTTGTGAAAGAAAAGATAAATGCATGTAGGTTACCATACATTAAACTCTTGCCTCAAGAAAAAAAATAAACATTAAATGTATATATTGAATTGACAGCACATACTAGAGAGGGATGTGTGTGTGTGTGTGTGTGTGTGTGTGTGTGTGTGTGTTTAAATCAAATGCTATGGTTCTAGTAGATCAAAATTTTATTCCAGAAATATGTATCTTGCTCTACAAAAATACCTTCACACTGTTCTAGAGGTTTCAACTAATTAACATTACATTTATATGTGAAAAAGTTGGCTTCTCTGTCTTCTTTTTAAGTGAACTGATATCCATTTTGTTTTCTTTCTAATTTTAACTTTTTTTCAGTCAGTCATGGCATGGTAATAGGGTTGGTTTCCAGTAATCATTAATCCATTCATTTAATAAGAATCTTTGAAGGAGAGGTAATTTAATATAGTGATTAAAAACATGGATTTAGATATTAATGTACCTGAATTTGTATCTTAACTCCATCATTTGTCAGTTCTATGCAAAGTTTCAGTGGATTTCCTCAAATGTAGCTTAAAAATAAGTGCTACGAGGTTGCTGTATTAATTGAGACGTGCATCCTCCCTCGTTCAAAAAGCCACGGCAGGAGCAGTTGGGGAGGGGCTAAGAATAGAAGTTAAGTCAATGCAAGGCTGTAGGGCTGTGGGTTGAGTAAATTTCCTTAGAACCAAGAGTGTACGTGGCAGACAAGATTGACATTGCAGGAAGAAAGTACAGCCATATAGAAGCATACCATCATATTAAAAAAAAGCACATCTGAAAATTTTCCAATACTTTTAGATGTCTGGAATGAAGTGAATATAAAGGAACAGAGAAAATGGGCCAGGAAAACAAGGGGTGAGCTCAAATATCAATAGACATGTTTTATACAAAATATTATATATATTATAAAGAGTTATATTATGATATTTTAATTTAAAATTAAATAGTTGACTTTTATCCATCACTGAAAGCAACTTACGACCCATTATAAATAATAAAACACGTGTTGTTTTTGTCCCTTCAATGATCATAAATAAGAGCAGTGTTTCTATAATTTATCACTATCTTACTTTATGGGGAAAAAAGAAAAAGGGTCCAGCAATGTCTATAATAATTGTCATTGTCATGAAGTGTTTTAGAATCTCAAGTAACCGTAAATATCAGAGACACAGATTACTTTTCCTCATCTGGTAACTGAGTCCTCTTTTTCTTTTGGGAATTGCTCTTCACCTGTTTGGTGTGATTCTAACAATGTGTCGATCCCAACCAACCCAGGTTGGCCAATTAAGCACTACTTGCCTCTGGGATTACAACAAGAACAAACACTTGACTCAAGGAGAACCGATCAGTTCATTTCTAGCAATTAATACTAACTCTGGATGAAAGGAGTTCTCCTTCTGAGATTTAGGGCTGTAAAAAGTATATAACTCTGGCGTTTCCAGGGTCAACACTAATGACTCATACAGAGACTGTCTGAAGCCAATATGGAGAAAAGCAGAGCCCAGAAATAGAGAAAGGAAAAGAAGTCCTGAATAGAGTTAAGTCTTAAACCAGCACCAACCATTAGGATTATCAGTTATATTTGCCAATAAATTTTATTTTCTTCTTAAACCAATGTAATTGAATTTCTGACTCTACCTATCAAAAGATAATACAGATGATCTGTAATAGGAAAACTCTGATCAAGACAACTGAATCGATGAAACAAAATAAACACAGGTTTCTCTGACACTTTATCTGTGGTAGTTCATTTCATTTATCTTGTTAAACATTTCAAAAGAAAATTCTACTACACATATTTACTTTAAAGAGACTAGGGAAAATCCAACAAACAAAAATCCTTATCCTTAATTAGAATTATCTGTACTTAGTAAAATCATTAAGAATTCTAATTTTTTTGTTCAGAAACCCTGTGTG